ATTTGCGGCAAAAGAACTGTTCGGAAGCCTTTGAGTCACTCCAGAAGCGAACGCGCATTCAATTGGAGGATCAGTTGCTGACACGACTCCATCAGCATCTGGTCATTGATGGCGATTACGATTCGGTCGAAGAACTGCTCGAAGAGGTCTGTGAGAAGCGTCTGTTCGACGCATACATCAGACGACAGGACTATCGGCCCGTTTGGCGCCGACTAATACCGGGCGCTAAGAGTGTGCGGCCGGGGATGAGAGGCGGCCATCAGATGTGCATCGATTCACTTTCGCAACTCATATATCTGTTTGGCGGATGGGATGGCACTCAAGACTTGGCTGATCTCTGGTCGTATGATATTGCGGGTCACGAGTGGACCCGTATCTCAAAGGACACGTTCATAGAGGGCGGACCGTCCGCTCGTTCCTGTCATAAGATGTGTTTGGATCCGATCCGGAAGAAGATCTACACATTAGGCCGTTATCTTGATTCCAGCATTAGATCCATCGATAATCTTAAGGTTTTTAATCGTCTGATAAATAATTACTTTATTTTGAGAAATAATTGATTTATTGGCCAAAAACAGAGCGATTTTTATATATACGATATTCAAACAAATCGGTGGACACTTGTCTGCGCGGACACGGCATCGATGGGCGGACCGGCGCTGGTCTTTGACCACCAAATGTGTATGGATTTGGAGAAGAATTCGATTTATGTGTTCGGCGGTCGAGTGCTCTCGTGGTTTGTGACCAGAATTAATGATTGATATAACAGTTACTATTAAAACATTTCACTCAAATCAACAGCTCATCGGATGAACGAATGGCCGCCAATTGTCCCGAACAGCCCCTCTTCAGCGGTCTCTATCAATACGACGCAAACACCGGTCAGTGGCGTAAACTAAGGGACGACTGTTCGGCGGCGGCGGGAGTGCTCACTGGCGGCCAGCGGGAGATAAAGTCACGAATTGGCCATTCAATGCTTTTTCACCAGAAGTTGCGTCTGTTATATGTATTCGCTGGTCAGCGGCAGAAGGAATACCTGAGCGACTTCTTCACGTATAACGTGGACACCG